TATTGGTCGAGCAGGTCAGAAAGCTAGCGCATACTCAAGCAGTGAAAAAGTAGAATCCACCTCTTGATGGGAGAAGCTGCAAAAATTATATGGAAAAGAATTCTGGATACGAAAAGGGGCATGATTGCAGATATTTTTTTTTGCAAACAACCTATCATGACACAATTGACTAAATGCTTTTTTGTAACTTTCTTGGATTTAAAGGCAAATTCTTTTTTAAACTCTAAGGCTGTTTAGCAGGGTTAATGTTAATTTTCTCTCTTCATTAGTTGCGCTGTTTTTTTCTTTCTTTCTTTCTTTTTTTTTTTTCGAGTTCCATGTATTTCTCCTTTGTTCTCACACTACATTCTCCTCACAGGTTTTCTCATCCATATCCATGCTTTTGCAAAACACCTATAAGCAGGTAACAATCATGGCTGAAGGTGAAGTAGAAGTAAGGACCTTCTCCAGATGGTGCCAGGAGACAGAGGAGTGAAGAGCACAGTGTGAAGAACCCTTTCTAAACCATTAGATCTCATAAGAACTCACTCACTATCCTAAGAACAGCATGGGGTAAACTGTTCCCATGATCCAGTCACCTCCTGACAGGCTCCTCCCTGGACGGGCTCCTCCCATGGGGATTATGAAAATTATAATATGAGATGAGAATTGGGTGGGGACACAGAGCCAAACCATATCACCAATCTATCCAAACCATGAATCTACCACTATTACTTCCCATGTCTTGATACTTTTGATTTCCCCAATGTATCATTTCTAGCTGGTCTTGGACATCTACCTTTTACCCCCAGTTCCTATGCCACAGAGAGTTAGAGATTAAACATAAATCTTACTATCATACTCTGCTAAAATACTCTTCAGTGACTTGTCCTGAATCTCAGAATGAAAAAACAAGCAACCTAAAAACACCACCAAACTTGAGCAAGTTCTGTATGATCCGAGGACAATGTAAGCTTACAACTTCCTCCTGTATGGCATTTTTTCTTTTCTTATGCTTCAGTCACACGGATTATATTTCAGTTCCTGAAAAGAACTGTTATATTTTTTCAAAACTCTTTACATTTATTCATTGCTGCTTCATGCCTCACTTGCAAACCAGTTTAGGTACTTCCATTATCCCAGTTTCATTTCATTGCATGTATAATTCGCTTAAGTATCTCTTTTTTGTTCTTTTTAAATTCTGTGAGTTACTTGCTCATCTATTTCTCTTCAGTGTTTGTCATAATCCCTGAAATGCATGAGGTACTAAATTAACTTGATTGTTAACAAATACAGGTATTAGCAAATAACACCTTGAAATAATTATATGTATGATTTGCTAGATACCCCAGGAAAGCAAATTTTTATCAGTGTCCAGTTTCTCTATATTTCATAGACATAATTCCTAGAACATAATTTCTAACAGTGGCAGTCATGTTTAAATTTAACTTTGAGGACTTAAAATATGGAACACCCTACTTTCTGGTATGACGTTAAAAGGATTTGTATTTTTAATAGTCTTTATGCCTATTTTTATTTCAGAAAGCCTTTGGGTATGACTTTTTTATAGTTTTGGATGATCTCAATACTGTAAAATTTAATTTAATTTTACCTTCTGTTGAATTCTAAGTTTATGTTATGCAATAGAAATATCATTTGAGTGGTCAGGAATATTTTACCTGTTGCTTTTGAAATTACTGTAGGAAAAGTAAGGAATAAGGAATCTACATTCAAATTTTAGATACTTCAAGAAAATTTCGGAAGCTTGTTACCTTCAAATATTGTGCCAAGTATTTCAAAGTGGGTTCTGGATAATTTTAAGCGATGATGGTTTTAATCTGATGGAGTTACAGATATTTTCAGCTTTCTTTAGTCTCCTCATTTCTCTCTTTCTCTCTCTTTTCTTTACAATGAAAAGGACAAGCAACCTTCCTTAAGGCACCACTGCATTTTTTTTTTTTTGAGGCAGAGTTTCACTCTTGTTACCCAGACTGGAGTGCAATGGCGTGATCTCAGCTCACCTCAACCTCCGCCTTCTGGGTTCAAGCAATTCTCCTGCCTCAGCCTCCCGAGTAGCTGGGATTACAGGCACATGCCACCATGCCCAGCTAAATTTTTTTGTATTTTTAGTAGAGACGGGGTTTCACCTTGTTGACCAAGATGGTCTCGATCTCTTGACCTTGTGATCCACCCACCTCGGCCTCCCAAAGTGCTGGGATTATAGGCGTGAGCCACCACGCCTGGCCTAAAACAAGTTCTTAGAGTTTAACCAAGATGGACTTCTATGCATTTAAATGCCCAAGAAAATCAAAATTAAAAATGAGTAAATATATCATGTATGCTAAAAAAATAGAAGTTTGCTTTTATTTTTTAGATTAAAAATATATATGCATATAATTACCACAAAAAGTAATTAACATAAGTGTGATCAGATGGTGTTACATTTGCTTAAACATCTTGATATTTCTTTTGTTATCACTTTTAGAGTTTGGTATCTGTTAAAATTATATTCACGTATTTATAGTCATAACATTTGATGTGTGTAAGTATGAGCCATGTAAGTGTTTTCATGTGTGTATACAAATGTGATTGAGGCAATTAAGGAAGGGATTGTAACATTATATTATTATGTTACAATCTTAACTTTATGTGACTTTTCAAAAAATTTAAATTATTTTCAATAACTAGATATTTGTTATCCCTTAAAATGTCAAAAGAAGTGCCAAAGATCTCAAGTATTTCAAAAATATGGTTTTAAAACAAATTTCTGAACGATAATTTTATCTTTTACATGTCAATATAGGTAAAATATGTAAAATTGTTTAGCACATCTCAGGTGACTTTTGGAAATAAGCTTTTAAAAAATAGTTGATGTGGGCTTTTTGCTCCTCTTTGTAAAAACTATTTTAAAATATAAATGAACTAAAAAGGTGTAAAGTAAAAAACAGATAAAATACCTAGACAAAAAATGAAAATCAGTAGTAAATTACACGATTAAAATTGAAGTTCAAGTTTATTAGCAACATGGAGAGGGTTGAATAGCAGCAGGACTCAGCACATTTTCCAAGATTTATAATTCATCAAACAGAGTCAACATAAAGTTATATGCGGAGCAGTGCTCAATATATTGGAATATGAACTAAGATTTTCTACATCAACTCTTCAAACAGTTTTTCATTAGTTGCATCTTAATGTAATTAATTTTTCACGAAACATAAATATAAATAACCCTACCCACATATATAAACACATATGTATACACATGCACATATATTTCTTATTTATTCTGAGTAGATTTGCAGTCCTTCTAGTCTATGTTTTAAAACACTGAATCACTTTTAAAAATATTATTTGACCTTTAAGTGGCCCAGTGTGGAAACTGCACACGAAAATTTTCATGATCATAAGTGAAGTTAGGGGAACTTACTGCTTTTCAATAGTTAATTTTTTTACTTGATAAAATGTGAGTAATACAGTTTCTTTGTGTGTAAAACTTAGTGAAGCTTTAAAAAGTATCCAGATTATCCTCACCTTTTCAAAACTTTGGTTTTATAAGCTTCACAAGAAATCGTAGGCCTTAGGTTAGCTAACAGCGTTAGATAGACTGGTTTCGCTCACCATTATCCTGCTGTTGCTTTAGTCTTGGAGTTTCTAGTGTATTCAATGAGATTTTTCAGTCATTTATTCCTTTTGTATAAAACTAGGCATTGCTGATATGCACGTAAACGAAGCACACAGTCTAGTGTTTAAAGCACTTACAGTCTAGTGTTTAAGACACAGTACTAGAACACAGTGGGAAGCAGGACGTTAAAATGTAAGTAATCACCGCTACGTTAAGGGATTGTCTAGTGCTCTGCACACACATAGGGGATTTGAGGGTTTGAAAAAGGCTGTCCAGAAGCAATAATATCCAAAATGGAAGCATAAGGATAAATTGAGGTTTTCTGACTTAAAAAGTGGCATATTTGGGGAGTTTTAGCAGAATGAGAGATGAGGAGAATAAGCCCAGAAAAGGAACTGACACGTTTCAAGAGCCTTACATAGAAATCACTTCTTCTTGTAGGAGGTCAAAGAAGCTTGATAAGTCTGAATCCCCCAAAACAGCCTTACTCCGTCACTCCTATATTGGTGAACTGCATCTTTGCATGTGAGAATGTGTGTGTGTGTGTGTGTGTGTATTTGTGTATGTGTGTGTGGACATGAAGCTTTCTTGAATTTTGTAAAGATAGGTGTTCTTCAAGAATGAGGATCATGATTTTCTATTATGTTATCGGTTCTGTTTGTGTGTAGCTTAATGACAGTCAATTTGATGCTTCTTGTGGTCATATGTACCTTCCTGAAAATCAAACTGCCACATTTACATTTCAACAGAAATGTGAAAATTGTGCCATTGAGTGTGTAGTGTATTTTCTGATGGGATCAAGTTACTGAATTATTTGTGATGCTGAACGGTTAGCCATAGCGTCCCACTAATAACGACTCACTATTCAAGATGCATGCCTGGAGCTTATTTTAAAAGCGGAAGCACTTTTGCTGCTCCACAACAGTCTGGCCTAGCAAGGCCAAGGAATGAGAGAGAGATGCTGTCTTCAGTGCCTTTCTCCGTTTTGACCTAGAATGGAGTATGGAGAATATCTTGAGATAAATGAGAATGGATTTCAGAAATTTCATAGTCATCAGAAATTGGTAGCTATTTTTAATATTTGTCTTTAAATTTGCCAGTACTTTTATTTTTCTTGAATTTAGAAATCTAAGAGTTATTTCAGTAATTTGGTGTTCTTACTCCAGAATAAGGAGTAAGAACTGAACTGGTCAAGTCAACCGGAAGTCTGGGGTTTTATTCCCGTGTTCCCTGTACTACATTATATTGACTGAAAAATTCAGAAAATTCTAAATTTTGTCACAGTCATTAGAAACTTCAAATGCTTTTACCTAGTACTTAAACACAGCTGCTATCATATTTAGACATGTTTTTTGCCATTTATTGGTATGACATTTTATTTTATTTTACTTTATTTTAGAGATGGGATCCTGTTTTGTCACCCAGGCTAGTGGCATGATCAGGGTTCATTACGGCCTCAACCTCCCAGGCGCAAATGATCTTTTCACCTCAGCCTCCTGAGTAGCTGAAACTGCAGGTACGAACCACCACACATGGTTAATTTGTTCTTTTGTGTTTTTAGTAGAGATGACGTCTCACTATGTTGCCGAAGCTAGTTTCAAATTCTTGAGCTCAAGCAATCCTCCAGCCTTGGCCCCCCAAAGTACTGTGATTACAGGCACGAGCTACCACTCCTGATCCAAACATCTTATTAAAGCGAAATTAAATGCACCATGAAAACTTTAATTTAAATCTTACTTTTATACTGTATTTAAATCCAAAAAGTGCTATACAGTACTACGTCTGTATCCACCAGAATGTTTACTATTTTGATTTTAATCACTAAAGCGAAGTTACTTTTAAGAGAAATATTCTTTTTGGGGAAAAAAGTCACGAATGACTTTTTAAAAAGTTAAAAACACCATTTGGGTTAGTTGGTGACATTGTAGGGAAATTTGTTTTGTCCTGTAGAAACACTTTGTTACTGTTTATGTGATTGCATCAGTGCCTACCACAGTGAAAACAGAACCGACGTCAGAACTGACCAGTTTAATCTATGGAATCCCAATAATTCGCATTACCAGTAGTTTTCAGTGAAAGACCCTGCATAACTTAAGGAGCATTATATTTATGCAAGTAAATTTATGCAGAAATAGATAGAAACAATTAGAACAAGTACTATTCCAATGTAGTACAGCCATAAGCGGGTTTTCTTCTAAATGTACATAATACATAAAATTTTAAGTTTTTTGTAAACTATGTCACTGAGCTTTCATGTTTTTGATCCACAATAAATTATGTTGAATGAATAAATTTTGGAAAGTTAAGTAATTAAAAAGAGATCACAGGTTTTTATATGAAGGAAACAAAACATGTTTTGTCTCAATGTAATGATTTTATTGGCAGAAATTCATACAGAATTTAATGTGTGAATTGTGGTGTGTGTATTCAGGAAGATTATGTTACATTCTTTTTTCCCAAATTTAATTGACCATGAAACACTATATGCAGCCCTTTTTATAATGATAATAGCAATCTCACTTTGAGAAATATTGGCAACATCTTAAGTGAAAATAAAATAAGGTAATTCTTAAAATTAGTATAAGATAAATAAGTATCAATTTACTTGCTGATTCAAGTTCATCACCTATTCTGCTATTCTTAATGTACAATATTTTAAAAGGGTAAATTTGAAGTACATTTGGGGTGACCTCCATCCAAATCCTCTATCTAGAATTAGTACCCAATTCAAATACCAACTAAAAGCATTCTTTTTCTCTCAAATGATATATGCTCAGTTCATTTTTATTAACTGGAGTTTCAAAACCAGGATTTAATTTCTTACATAATAAACAGAGCTAGAAAAAATAGTACAGAAAAGAAAAGCCTCTATTATTTTTCTCCTCTGTACCCTACAGCAGAGAAAATGACTTTCTTTTTTTTTTTTTTTGAGATGGAGTCTTGCTTTGTCACTCGGGCTGAGTGCAGTGGCTCAATCTCAGCTCACTGCAACCTTCACCTCTTGGATTCAAGCGATTCTCTTGCCTCAGCCTCCCAAGTAACTGGGACTGCAGGTGTGCACCACCACACCCGGCTAATTTTTTTGTAATTTAGTAGAGACGGGGTTTCACCACGTTGGCCAGGATGTTCTCAATCTCTTGAACTCTTGATCTGCCTGACTTGGCCTCCTAAAGTGCTGAAAAATTAAAACTATTTTAACCTCCATTAAAGAATACAGCACTAACTCTACCTGGTCCCCATTTGACCTTGCTTAGCCTATTAAGGTCAAGGATATCTTTCAGAAAGGAACTTATACCAAATCTACTATGTGATCAAATGGTGAAAAATGTATACTCTTATTCCTCAAAACCTAGTCTTCAGCAAAATCCTCCATCATGTCCTCTTTCCCAGGGACTCTTCAACATTACTACTGAGAACCAGTTCTTTCCAACCAATTTTTGTACTTAAGGATGTCATTTTGTCTCTGACTTAAAAAAATTATTTATTATACTTTAAGTTCTGGGGTACATGGGCAGATCGTGCAGGTTTGTTACATAGGTATACACGTGCCATGGTGGTTTGCTGCATCCATCGCCCTGTCACCTACATTAGGTATTTCTCCTAATGCTATCTCTCCCCAATCCCCCCACCCCCTGCTATTCCTCCCCTAGACCCCACGCCCAAGGCCCAGCTGTGTGATGTTCCCCTCCCTGTGTCTGTGTGTTCTCATTGTTCAGTACCCACTTATGAGTGAGAACATGCAGTGTTTGGTTTTCTGTTCTTGTGTCAGTTTGCTGAGAATGATGGTTTCCAGTGTCATCCATGTCCCTGCAAAGGACATGAACCCATCCTTTTTTATGGCTGCAGGGTATTCCATGGTGTATATGTGCCACATTTTCTTTATCCAGTCTATCATTGATGGATATTTGGGTTGGTTACAAATCTTTCCTATTGTGAACAGTGCTGTAATAAACATGCATGTGCATATGTCTTTATAATAGAATGATTTATAATCCTTTGGATACATACCCAGTAATGGGATTGCTGAGTCAAATGGTATTTCTAGTTCTAGGTCCTTGAGGAATCCCCACACTGTCTTCCACAATGTTTGAACTAATTTACACTCCCACCAACAGTGTAACAGTGTTCCTATTTCTCCACATGCTCTCCAGCATCTGTTGTCTCCAGATTTTTTAATGATCGCCATTCTAACTGGTGTGAGGTAGTATCTCAGTGTGGTTTTGATTTGTTTCTCTAATGATCAGTGATGATGAGCTTGTTTTCATGTTTCAATGTCTTCTTTTGAAAAATGCCTGTTCATTTCCTTTGCCCACTTTTTGATGAGGTTGTTTATTTCTTGTAAATTTAAGTTCTCTGTAGATTCTGTATATTAGCCCTTTGTCAGATGGATGGATTGCAAAAATTTTTTCCGATTCTGTTGGTTGCTGGTTCACTCTGTTGTTAGTTTCTTTTGCTGTGCAGAAACTTTTAAGTGTAATTAGATCCCATTTGTCTATTTTGGCTTTTGTGGCCATTGCTTTTGGTATTTTAGTCATGAAGTCCTTGCCCATGCCTATGTCCTAAATGATATTGCCTAGGTTTTTTTTCTAGAGTTGTTATGGTGTTTGGCCTCATGTTTAAATCTTGAATCCATCTAGAGTTAATTTTTGTATAAGGTGTAAGGAAGGGATCCAGTTTCAGCTTTCTGCATGTGGCTAGCCAGTTTTTCCAGCACCATTTATTAAATAGGGAATCCTTTCCTCATTGCTTGTTTTTCTCAGGTTTGTCAGATCAGATGGTTGTAGTTGTGTGGCATTACTTCCGAGGCCTCTGTTCTGTTCCATATGTCTATATCTCCGTTTCGGTACCAGTACTATGCTGTTTTTATTGTAGTTGCCTTGTAATATAGTTTGAGGTCAGGTAGCATGATGCCTCTAGCTTTGTTTTTCTTTCTTTTTTTTTTTTTTTTTTTTTTTTTGCTTGGGATTGTCTTCGCTATGTGGGCTCTTTTTTGGTTCCATATGAAGTTTAAGGTGCTTTTTTTCCAATTTTGTGTAGAAAGTCACTGGTAACTTGATGGGGTAGCACTCTGACTTGTTACTAGTTCTTCTGCTTCCTGGTGGTAAACTGAAACATTGGAGCACCAAGTCTGCTATAATTTTAGAGTTCCAGAAATCAAAATGTGCTTAAAATTACAGCTCTCTACACTGAGGCAAATTATAAATAGACATGTGTATGTTAGGACTCTAGATTTTTTATTGTATTAAATGACTTTACTGATTCCCTTAAATCCATAAAACATACCATTGTTAGTATTAAATGACCTTGGAAAGAATTGTACATTAAAATTTGGCATTTTGGAATCATCATGAAAATTTTGGGTTGATTTTAATATATATATTCTTCACATTTAAATATGCAGATAATTGCTCAACAGTGTTCCCTTTCTGTACTACTGATGTTGCCGTATTTATATAAATATGTCAGTTCTTTGTTTCTTATTCTGTGCTCTTAAGCCATCTGTAGAAAAATCTGATATTCTGTATATATACTGCATGCAGCTTTATTTCAAACATATTTCATTTATTTATTTCAGCTAACAGATATTGCTTCATTTATTTACTTTAGGCCGAGCACTGAGATAATAAAGTATGCCTTCATTATTCTTGCCTACAGTTTTGTTTACCATTCATTCAGTGGTTACCCCCACCAGCCCCAACACCCACACACAAGAGATAAAGGGCACATGCTTTTCCTTAGGCTGTTAGCCTTCCTCAATAGTAGTCCATATGTTTGGATAAAGATGCACATGTTCAGGTCACAGTTGTCCTAAATCTCTTAATACCCTCAGTATTTCTTTTAAGTATTCATTCTACCTTCTCAATTTATGACTGCTATGATTTGAATTTTTTTTCCCTGCAAAACTCACATTAAAATTTAGTTGCCATTGTGACACTCTTAAAAGGTGGGGTCTTTAAGAGGACTCTACCCTCTCGCGTGGAATTGGTGACATTTGGCAAGAACAAGTTTGGCTCTCTCTTGCCCTCTTGACTTTGTGCCTCCGACCATGGGAAGATACTGCAAGAAGTCCTTGAAAGGATGCGGGCCCTTTGATGTTGAACATCTTAGCCTCTAAAACTGTGAACCAGTACATTTCTGTTCATTATAAGTTACTCTGTCTCAGATATTCATTTTAGTGGCAAAAATAGACGAAGATAATAATGAAACAGCTATTTTTATAATCCCCCCTGTACGCCCATGGGAGGACATACAATTTAATTGCCATCAGTCAAATATACCTGCTTGATACTGATATTTAGAAATTGGCCAAGTGAGGAGATGGCAGTGTGCATGACACCAGTTGTACTGGGTGCAGGTAGAGGCAGAGAAGGTGCATTTCTGTGATGGATGGGAGGCAGCAGCTCTTGACTGAAGCAGAGGGAACTTAGTTTTGGTATTGTCAGCAGTGTCAGTACTCTTGCTAGAGCGGTGTTGTAGTGTACCTCTTGAATCATTCTGGGATGCTCTGCCTACGGC